TAAAGCTGCTTTCAGATAATACTTTGTTTCAACACATGTATAGTCATATACATAGGTCCAATTACACACCCACCAAACATCTGCTAACTCCCACGGAAATAGCCGTCGACTACCAAGAGATGGAAAGAACAGATGGCTATGCAATACATTCTAATAAAACCAGGTTCATCTCTGCATCCACAATGCTCTGGAAAAGCATTCAAACCTTAGGGGCAACATCACATTTCTGGAACCAGAGAATAAAGCCCAGATACTTAATATTTTTTTCACCCGTGATTTAACAACAACAAGATTACATTTGTATAGCGCCTTTCACGTCGGGAGGACATCCCAAGGCACTGGACAGATTACAGCATTTCAGACCCGAGCTGGGGTTGGGAGGTAAGGGAGGGGAGGGGAAATGGGATGACCGATGGCATGGTCGAAGAGGAGGGTCTTGAGGCGGTACTTGAAGGAGGCTAAGGAGGGGGCAAGGCAGAGTGACTGGGGATGGAATTCCAGAGGTTGGGGGCAGAGTGGCTGAAGGCTCTCCCGACAATGGTGGGGTGGGTAGGTCGGGGGACGTGGAGCAGGCTAGAGCCAGCTGAGCGGCAGGAACGGGCGGGTTGGTGGGGGTTAGGAGGTCGCAGAGGTAGGGTGGGGCGAGGCCATGGAGGGCTTTGTACCTGAGGACCAGGATCTTTAATTGGATCCTCTGAAGGATAGGGAGCCAGTGGAGTCTGGCCTTTTAGTTGTAATACCTTTTAGATGCAGTATTTTTTTTTGACTACTTGTGATAGCTGCCAGGTCTTTCAGTTCAACTGGCACAGGAGACTTAAGCCTGAAGAAGTCATTACTGTAGTGCCCCAAGCAGATATATTCAAATAATTCTGGCGACTTCTGCTGGCTATGGTAATAGAATCAGTAGAATGTATGGAGGGGAAGCGAATTAGATAGAGACTGTGAACACAGTCCAAAGAAGATTTGGTCACTGTCGATTGAAAGAAGTCATCACTGATTGATGGATTGAGTGAACAAACAGTCATGGATTGAGTGACAAAATTTATTTATTTATTTTTTGGAGGGACTATTACCCCCTGAAAGCGATCTGCCAATCGACTAACAACCGCGTTCCGACTTACTGCTACGTATACAGACGCGTATGGAGTAAGGAAACTGCCTAAGGCTTCGCCCTGTCCAGGAATCAAACCTGGGTCCTCTCGCTTGCGAGGCGAGTGTGCTAACCATTCGCTACCCAGGACTCCATAATACCATGTCTCAAAGAAAGCTCATTTGAATTTAATAAAGTTAAATCTGTGCAGCCTCCTGCTTTGAATAAGCTCTCACCTAATTTAATCGTATCGTCAATAAAGCTATTCAAAATGATCTATGGCGGGCATGCCATAAGCTTAACAGGTTAATCAGCCTTTGTCTTTGTTATAACTACTGCAGCCTTATTTGCACCGTAGCTCTCAATCATTCAGCTAAGAAACATAAGAAACATTATTGATTCCTATGATTTGTCTGCTGTGCACTTATCAATTAAGTGCCAATATTAACATTGATTTTATGTACATCAGTCACCAAGGAACCAAAAATGTAAATAAGTGACCAAAGCATTCAAAATGGTTTAAAATTGGACGGTTTCATAATCTAATTTAGATTTCAGATGGAGAGAACAGGTTTCTGATTTCAGTTAGGCCATCCAGGAATCATGCACAGCAACAATAACAATTTACACTTGTATAGTGCCTTACACGTCGGAAAGACGTCCCAGGGCGCTGGACGATCAGAGGTTTTGGACCCGAGCTGAAAGGATCATCATCATCTTAAAATACCTTTTTTTTTAAATTCGATTTAAAATCTTATACACTTCTTATCAGGTCCACTCTGAGACTACTTCCAGCACTGACTGGCTGCTTTCTTTTGCATACAGACGGGATGCCAGCCGATACGTCAGAAAGGGCTGATCTAGCAAGCGTTTGAGAAGCAGCAAGATCAATGGCAACCTGGAAGCAGAACTAACAGCCATTTTATTTTACAGATAACACAGGGTCCAATTATATGGAATCAAACGTTAATGATATAGCGGGGTCCGATTGTATTTGGAGAATCAAAATATTATGGGATACGGCAGAATGGCAAGATTGTAGTACATGGGTCCTCTGTGGTGCAGCTGGCTCGAAGGACTTCTGTTGTTCCTAATTTCCTATGTTCCAATGGTACATTCTCCTACCCAGCATTTTTCGACTGATAAGATACACAGAGTTTTGGAAAGAAACAGATATGACAGGAGAGGGAGAGGGGAGAAATTAATGAAAAATATCAGTGCTAAATGTGAGGTTCAAATGCCACTTGTGTTGATAAACCACCCCCCAACCCCCAAACAGTTGATCTCATCCAGGTTGTCATACTGAGCGCCACTTGAAGGAGGATATCCACCAGATGTGGCGACATCAGTGTAATAGAAACAGTTTCAGCTATTATTGCATTTTAGCATCTCTGATCCAGCCTCCCTGCGCAGCACGAGTAGAAGCCATGTGGAGGCTTTGGAATTCACTATAGTAAGAAGGAAAGTGAGAAAGAGAGGGAAAGAGAGTGATAAAGAGAATCAATACAACTGGATTTGTACAAGTGTGTAAAATGCAGAAATTTGGTACAGTAAGAAAGGTTAGTGTTTGGGGTAACCATCTATGGTTAGAGGAAAGAATAGGGTTATATGAAACGTCCTCCCGACGTAAACACGCTATATAAATGCAATTTGTTGTTATTTGGTTATAATATAATCCTTGCATTTGATATAGCGCCTAATCACGTCTTCAAGACGCTTCTAAGCGTTTCACAGAATACACTGTAAAGTGAATTGACTGCATATTTTGTGGGCGAAACGTGGCAGCCAAGTGCACACAGCAGTGTCCCACAAACAGTCGTGGATTGAGTGACCAAATTATTATTGTATTTTTTTCTTGAGGGATTATTATCAGGTGTGTGGAGTAAGGAAACTTGCCCAAGGTTTCGCCTGCCATGAATCGAACCTGGGTCTCTCGACTGCGAGGCGACTGCTCTCACCACTGAGCTACAGGACTCCTAAGGTTAGCGTCTCGAATAATGAAAAATGTGAGATCTTGAAAGTTCTATCACCTCAGAGAAAACTGTAAAACCTAGAAGTTTATATAGGAAACGAGGAGTGGGTTTTAGTCTGTCAGAGAGCATAGAAGTTTTGCTTTTATTAAAATGCCCTTGATTAGCCGTCAATTCACATTCACCACAATCGGCACATGATCCATTGATCAATTCAAACCGATTGTTTTTAATAAGGCAAATTCTTGAAACCACATTCTACTGCAGGAGAACCTCAGCAGTATAAGTGTTGAGTGATTTAGTTCTGCATAATCTTATATGCAACTACAAAGCCCCTCGGAACCCTTCTATTGTGTGAGAATATGCCAGAGCCTACAATTACAATGGTCATTTTAGCTTTCGGCCTTAAAAGCTTTGCCAATCATTCCGTGCAAGGTTGTCAATCCCTTGGGTCTTAAGCCTTTTTAGTTAAATTTCAAATTGGACATGCACTTAAGTGACCTTCTCAGTATTTATAATGTAAATTCATTTATCATAATAAGTTAATTCAACACTGAAGTATACATGTCTACAGTTCTACACTTTTTTTAAAAAAAAGCTTCATTCTCCCATTTTCCTCTTTATATTCAGACTAAGTTATGAACTTCAACTCAGAATATTAATAGTGTTGACAGAAATGTTATAAGATGAAGCACGCAGATGTGCAATACTTAATTTCTACACGGTAGCTCTCATCTCCATGGTCACATTCTCTCTCCCCCTTCTACCTCCCTAAAAAAGGAAATCCAGCCAATGCTGGAAAAAATTCCAATATACATTGTCCTCAGTGAACAGGGGACTAAAACAGAACTTCAGCCCTTTACGGGCAAAGGAATGGGAGACTCTTCCCTCACCAATATTTTTAAAGAGATTACGATAGGGAGCAGTAACACAATTCAGGAGAGAGAGTACGTTGGCAGCTCAGATAGGTCAATGTTCCAGAAATGAAATGGTAGATGCAAACTAACCACATATCATGGATGGAAAAACGCTTTCATGGCCACATACTGAACAGCTGAAAATCTGATCTCAGCAGACCCAAGTGCTTATTATAGAGATAAACCAGCAACCTTCTTGCCAGATGCCCTTCAGAATAAAGCAATGTTCAGTAGCTTTGCAAAAAAGTCAACAAACAGACTGATCGTAAGATATCCAAAATTTTGAGTATCTGTTACTTAATTGGATCAAACTACTAGATAAATATTAAACTAGTTCCATCGTCAAGGGTGTTACCTCTAATCAAGCATTTAAAATAATGGTGTATTATTGTTACTTCAAATAATACACAAAGCAATTTTCCATCTGTATTTAACTATGGACTCAAAGCTAAATCCCATAATTGTAACTTCATCAATACTGTTACCATTTACAGCAAACTGAGTAAAAGGAGAACATGGACCTAGGTTTATAACCACGCCTCTTTGCAATCAAGCACATAAAGCAGTAAAGCGTAGGCAAGCCTTATCATCTTGCTTCAGGTGACTATTTTGGGATACTAGCACTTTACTAATGCCCGGGAACATATTGCCTACATATAAGAAATGAAAGATTATTGGAGAAAACCACATCACTTGTAACAAGGCCAATCCAATTGCATGAACTAATCCCATAATGCACAATTTGCCAATAATGCACATCAAGCTTATTTATAGCTATTACATAATGCTTTTCATTTTCCAATAGCTGCTTTTGTCCCTGACTTTTTTCAAAACCAACATATTCAATTCTTCATCAATAACGGTACAGTATCTAGACTACATAATGCAGCCAGCAGTAGATTGTTAACGCTTAGTTTGCTGCCATATACAAGCTACAAAAATTCAGGCTTGTTTGTAGAGGGAATCCATACTTAACCATTATTCAAGAGTGAACATCTTATAAATAGAAGACTATGAACTCACCTTGTAGTTTCTTCAGGACAGCAACTTCCATTTTGAGAACCTGTTTTGGTTGCTGGGCTGACTCCACTTTTAGGGCTACATTTTCCCGGATCAATGGGTCTAGAGCTTCGTAGATTTCCCCAAAGCCTCCACCGCCAATCTTTTTCAGCTGTAATTAATAAAAACAAGAATTAGGCCTAAACCATTAAAATTAGCCGAATAAGCAGAAATTACAACAGTTTCATATTTTTCATAAGCAGTCTTTTTTTTAAGTACCCATCTAATTCCCTTTTGAAAGATGTTATCGAATCTGCTTCCATCACCTTTTAGTGCAGTGCCTTCCAGACCGTAACAACTCTCTGAATAAAGAATGCTCTCTTCTCCCCTCATTTCTGCTACTATCCTGCTCACTGTTTACTACATTTCCAGGTTTTGTGTCATAGGCAAACTTTAAAATTTTGCTCTCTATACCCAAGTCCAGGTCATTTATATTTTAAAAAAAAGCAATGGTCCTAAATACTGACCCTTGACCATGAAAACAGTGTTTTGACTCGAGCAGACTCAGACATTAGAAATGCAGGAGGAAAGTGGTTAGACATTGAAAACAAATGGACTGATCTTCCTCCAAGTGGGCAAAGGTGCCTGGTGTTGGACTAAGCATACGAAAGACTGCAGGTTTTACAGCATGTAAACAGGTCTATGCTGAATTAGCCTCCTCCCCTTCTCCAACGCTAGCAGAAATAAATTGTTATTTTTGTTAGAATTAAAGCTATTGGTAAACTGAAAAACATTTCATTAACTCAACAAAAATACTTGCTCTATATTTTAATCCTTCTGCACAGAGAGAAAGTAATATGCATTTATTGCTTTGAGGTGGAAGGGAAAACGATATCCAAGGAACAAAAATGCACATTCAATAATGTCTTAAATACTTTCTTATTCCTACCAGGTGATCTGTTTCAATTACACAGGGTCAGGCTTAGTGTGAGGTCTGGTTTCACACAGTGTCTCCCACTTAGCCTGCTGCTGCTGATCCTTATTATGCTTATAGCCTGCTGCCGCTGATCCTGATTATGCTCAGCCCATTGCTGCTGGCATCTCCTTTCTACATTCCCAAAGCAGCCGGTGATGCGCCTAACCATGCAGCACAATTGTAAAAAAACACACTCACTGCTGGGAAATCGAGTGTGCCTGTCCAGCTTAGACATACATTTAGTGGTAACAATTTATTTCGCTCTTTTCAACGAAACAAACTAAGAAAAATCTGTGGCTGTAAAGGAGAATTCAGCTGGTTTCAGAGAACTGCATATCGAAGATGAATATAATAATAATGGACAGAATGAATGGTGAATTTGTTCATGTGGTTGTGCAGTCTAAATGGAAAGCTAGTGTGTGGCATATGCAGTAAATTAGTTGCCGAAAGTTAAAGTGGCCAAAATAATAACATTCTGAGATTAAGCACATAGACTGAGGAATATTACACCCAAAAAATCAACTGAGATACTTCTAAATATGGGTATGACCATCAAAGAGTCTTCCCAACGAGTCTGGTGTTTTCGTCGGATGGAATTTCACTGTTTATGTTCATGTCGCAAAGAGCTCAGGATGAGTTTGGAAAGCAAAAGTTAAATTTACACTTACTGAAGCATAAACATATTTGCTTACCACCGAGCACAAAATGATGACTTTGCCATATGTCTGTGTATTCTCATAATGCTTGCTCACACCCAACTACCCTGGTTGACCCACAGTTCCTCATTGACATCTACTTTCTCCTCCCATTCTAGCTTTGTGAATAAGTGCTGACACTGCCTTCACCCCACCCCTTCCGAGGTAGACATAGTCTCTTCACTGAACTACCACAATACATTTGCATTATGTGCAACAAAATTACTCTCACAATTTGAAAAGAGAAGGGCGTTTCTCCCAATATCCTGGCTAACAAATTGATCATTTATCCACTGGCTGTTGGTGAGACATGGCTGTATGCAAACTGACCAAAACTACACAGTCACTTCACTTAACAGTAATTACTGTAAAGCACTTGGGACACATTGATGTTTGGCTCTTTAGGAAATTAAAATGCAAATGCAAGGATTTTTATTACTCTAATCATTTCAAGTGGATGAAGTTCAGCACAAAGCTGACTCAGTGCTGAACCTTTGGGAGTTGTTGCTTTCACACATTGCTGCCAGAAATGCCATCAAGATCAGGTTTCTCATCTTTCCAATCTGCCTTCTTTCTAGAGATGTCTCCCAACAGACAATTCTTTCTCAGCAAGGGATATTTCCCCTGGGGATCTTTATCTGAAGGGACAAGGGTTACAGATACATCTGCATCAACTAGGGCAGTGCGAACTCCCACTTTTGACAGCTGATTGAAATGTGAATTCAATCACTTCTAGCATTCAGCAGAATGCTACAGATGATCGTACTTTACTAATGGCTGCTTGTGCAGCTATCTGAGGAAACAACCGTTCGGGCCAACTCCATCCCGCAGTCCCTCGGTCTCGTCCCCTCCCTTGCCACTTTCAAGATCCACCTCAAGACCCTCTTTTTCGACCGTGCTTTCGATCTCCCTGCTCCCCCCCCCTGCCCTCCACCCTCCCCCACCCCGACCCTCAGCTCAGGTCCGTAACTCTGTCTGTCCAGCGCCTTGGGACATCCTCCCGAAGTGAAAGGCGCTTTACAAATGCAATTTGTTGTTGTTGTTTATGAATGGTGGATCTTGGGAGCAATATAAATAATCTAACTGGTTACATATTGAGCAAAACTCATCCCTGTTCTAAAATGTGTAATTAATGACACTTACAAACTGTTTCAAATAAAGGCAACGAATTACCCCAAGAACAACAACCTGCTAAATCTCAGCGTTGCCTTTGTTGTTTGGGCCACAGGGAGGTATACAGCAATCCGCAGTTGGCCACTCCAGCTGTGAGTTGGCTAAACGTGTTACATACAGCAGGTTAGCAGATGCCTGCAAAATCCTCAGCAGATGCCTGGAACAAGACACCAGCATAGAAAATGAACCTGCTATGACTCTGGGTATTATTTCCCACTCTAGCAAGGACTCAACAAATGCTGGTTTCAGTAGCAATTCTGTCCAATGTTGAAAATGTCTGTGTTGAATTGAAGTAATTTTTACTATGGGGGAGGGATCACTGGAAAGCATTTTCTGCAACAATAGATCCTTTTCATGGCCTTTTTTGACTCAATTAAAACACTGATGTTACATGACTGACTCTTCGAAACTATTTGAAAGCCACAGAAAAACAAATGTTCACATCTATTATTCTCTTTGTAATGAGGGTTTACTCCCCACTTTACAGACTGCTCTTAATTCAGAGCACAGAGTTAATGCTCAAAAACAGGATACATTTTGATTTTGATTTCTGTCTCTGTTTAAGCTATTAACTGAACTGTATGAACAGTAACCCAGGGTGATTCATGCTTCACTACACCTCCTTCCCACCTATACCTTTCTCTATCCTTGATATTGGGAACTGTCTGATGAAACCCATGCTTTTTGGGGAGGGGGCTGGGGGTGTAATGGGACCCTAAAAGACTGGGAGTTTTCAAGTAAGAGAAATTAAATTGATTTGGGTGGTCAGCCTGCTGGAGCTGTTGCTGTCATCAAGCATATTCCATCTATTCAAAATTCATTATTCTACTACATTGGTATCCCAAGTTATTCTTGGCCCGCGTTCAAAAAAATGTACAGAGAACATACATCACAAAACAGAGGAAAAAAAATCTAATCCCAAACACTGAAATGCAGGTGTTACCCATGCATCTGTAATGTGGTTTGGGACAAATGGGGGAAAAAAGGAAAATGAAAGCCATTTATTCTCAAAGAATTGGAAGTCATTTTAGTATTGTGGCAATTGTTTTATTCAGCAATACAAGAGGAACAGACCTATATAAGAAAATTCACTAAAATTAATCTAGATTTTCTGGCATTTGTTGCTGAAATGCAGACATGTAGAGAACAAAATAAAAGGTTACTAGGTTAAAAGGTAACAAAATTAAAGGTTACAACACTGACTTCTGCATTAGAAAGAGCAAGATTTTGTATTTAAAATCTCAAGTATTCAGAACTCTAGAGAATTTACTTCAAGGATAACAAATGATGCCCCAGCTTATGTTTTACTACTCTGTACATGGGCACCATTATTATGATTGACATTACAGAAACCTGTAGGAAAAGCTTTCAGAAAATCCACTAAAGGCAAACAGCCACACTGTTAAAGAAAGTTCAGAAAAAGTTTAAGTGGAAAAAGTTTAAATAACAGCTATAACACCGTTTTATTAGTAATCTCCAGCTTGCTGCACGGAAAATAAGTTCTTTAATTTAGTCTTAAATATTTGAGACATTTTAAGAATATTTTGAAGAGAAAACTGAACCTAACAGTGGAATTGACTTAATTACTTAATGACTACCATCTGATAAGGCGCAATATCAAATGCAAGGATTATCATTGTTATTAAGATATACTTCTTAATATCTGTTCTAAAATTGCCCTCTATAAATGGGGCTTTGCTATTGGCAAAATTCTTCTGGTGCTGAAAAACTGGAAATCTACAGGGCATTAGGTTTCAATTCTGAACAAGCGCTCCGAGACACCGACTGGCGTGAAGGGTGTTATATAAATGCAAGTTGTTGAACTTACTGCCAAGTTACCCATGACATGAATTTTGTAATGTCAGTAAGTTCTAAGAGTACAGTGTGACTACACGTTAGCAGCAAAAGCTCTTAGCAAATAGCAATGACCAAGGAGAGTGCTGATCTTCTATTCTTCACACTTTTAACTGTAATACCTAGCATTTTGTAAACTTATTCAGGCTGGGTCTTAAAATGGGAGATACAAAAAGAGCAGAAAGAGGAATTCAAGATTAACATTGATTTTTTTTCTTTAGAACTGATTCATCCAACAACAACCTGCATTTATATTCTTTTAATATTTTAATCAGAACGTCATTTACCCATCAAGTATATGCCTCTGCTGCCTCCTCCACTGAAGTCATCGTGTCCCATTCCTAATTCAATGCTCTTTCCTGTACATATTTATATTGTTCCTTTTTAAAATACTTTCCTGAAGTCCCTTTAGAAAGCTAGTACAGTAAACTTCACATAAGTCGTATCAGTTGGGACCAGATATTTAATATGAAT